GAAGCCACAATCCCGGCAGGTGTAGGTGAGCTGAGGGGTCCATGCAGAGGAAATCGTGACCCAGCGTCGCCCGACCGTGGTAAGGCCCCGCAGTTGAGGTAACGGTCTTAGCAGGGGAGTTGTCATTTCAGAAGTTCCTAGTTCATGTTTGTATAACATTTTCCGGTTTCGTGAACAACAAACAAATGATCGAAAATCTGGGATCTGCTTTTGAGAACGATAGTACATAAGATCAAAACTGCATTCACAAAAACTAAATTCGGGGAATACTTACTACCATTCAGAGTTTCTTATTATATCCTTCTTTTTATGGGCTAGGCCAGGTTATAATTACCTACCACGTATACAAATATTACTTTGCATAGTTTAACGTACAATATATTTACTTTCTGTCTACACGACAATTATTAATTATACAACCGTTAAAAATTACTGGATGAACAATGACATTTTAAATAAACTAATTCACAAGCACGGCTGACTGTAAAGTTAACTTCCTAAAAATGGATGCACTGAAGGACTTACATCCGTTACAAGTTTAATATTAATAAAAACAATTCCGTAAGACATAAAGTTACGATGAAATAAGAAGTTAAAATTGTGTCTTATAACTTATATATTTGCCAGATCTTGCACAAGTAGGGCAGTAATTGGATAGGTCTTGGTCAAATACAAAATATTCTGCACAAAGGTAATCGTAATGTACGAGGTGCGATCAGAAAGTTTCAAGACTGCGCCTATAAAAACCCGTACACTTATCTCAGGTATTAAATTTATCCATCACCCTCGAAGTAGTTCCCCTGGGAGTGAACACAACGATCCCAGCGCCGCTGCCAAGCCTGGAAGCATCCCTGGAAATCTTTCTTTGTCAGCCTGTCAAGCACCATCTGCGATTCTGCCTGAATCTCTTCTATCGTCTCAAATCTCCTTCCCTTTAGCTGAATTTTCATCTTTGGGACGAGGAAGAAGTCACACGGAGCTTAGGAAGGAAGTTGGGGTCGGTTCTTGCAAGATCTTTTAGCTCCTGACAAACGAGAAGTCGATTCTGCTTCTGGTCCTCAGACAGGAGCCTTGGTTTCGCATGTGGAGTTCTTCCTTTAGAATCAGCTGACAGGTCCCAACAATGTCGCACAAGTCGTTATGGTACGACGTCGATCTTCGTGAATGGCCTGCCGACTCTTCGTAACATTTTCGGGCGTTGTGCTCGAAGATGGTCGTCCAGAACGCTCGTCATCATCGACAGAGGTTCGGCCATTTTTAAAACGTGAATGCCACACAAAAGTTTGTGCACGACCCATTGCGGACTCCGCAAATGCTTGCTTTAGCATCTCATAGGTTTCCGTAGCCGTTTTGGCGAGTCTTTGGCAAAATTTGATTTGTTCATGAAAATCCGCCATTCCGAAATCGCAGGAGGGTCGGTGTAATGCACTACCAGAACGCCCGTAACTAAGAAACAAATGCTAATTCGATGATGCCGGCTGGCACACTGATTCACTATGAATGTAGGCCTAACCCCTTAGCGGCAGAAGCTCGTACTACATCCGGTTCGCCCTCTATTGACACAGTCTGGAAACTTTCTGATCGCACCTCGTATTGCATGTTAAAATTTTGGTAAATTGCGATTATTAATTAATTTGGGGTTATAATGAACTGTCAAGATACAATAATATTCAGGGTGTTTTATGGTAGTATGACGGTCTTGCCAGTAAGTATTATTACGAATGTAAACTATCAGAGAACATTTCAGACCATTCAGTTAAATCGTTTTATCATCCTTCGTCCTACATGCATCTTCAAAAATTAGCCCAATTCCGTTAGTTTTTCCGTTTCTTGCTTCTTGCAACCCCGCACACCTGAACCTCCATTTAACACTTCTACCAATACTTGAGGAAGATAATTAATCTCGTCGCTAGAGGCTTATACATGACTGTGCTCCGTGTTCTTCTCGGCGTACCTCATGTCTCTTATCCTAAACATTTGCTTTCAAATGCCTTCAATGACTATTCGCCCTTCGTCACAAGAGATAACATTTTTTGTTCATTAAAAATTATTCGGAATAACCCATTCAGTACAATGCCTGGCTAGCGGATCAACGACCGAAGTTCAATTTCCGCAAAGGCAGGAATTATTCTCTTAGCCACACGGTCAGACCAGCTCTCCTATCAAACTGACACTGGGGGCTCTTTTATCTGAGATAAAATGGCCGAGAAATGAGGGTAATCTCTCACCTCCGTTTAGTAACTAGGTTAAGAATACGTGGAGCTTTGTCTCCACACCCCCACAGGTCTTCATGGCGTAATGTTAAACAAACAAAAGGAAATATGTGCGTTTCATCTTAAGGATAAAGGGAGATAATTAAAACTTTAAGATAAAATTCCAGAATTGAATGACAGTGTGCATTTTTCGCAATTATTTTGTCTTCTACCACGTGTGAAATCCACGTTAATTCAGTCAACATAACTAAAAGCATCAAAACAGAAAGACGATGCCCAAATTGGCCCGGCTTCAAAAACACTTTGCTACTCACATCACCCTACTTGGAAGATCAAATAAAGTGGAGTGAGATTGGTGGGGAATGCAACACGAATGCGAGCGAGCCAACTGCAAACAAAATTTTAGAAAAAACTAACGGGCAGGGAACACTTGCGAAAATTGGGCGGAAGCTTTTATTGAAATGGGCGTGAATATGTGAACTAGGTTCATGTGGCTCAGAACATGGTTCAGTGGCGGCCTCTTGTGAATGCGGTAATAAACCTTTTTGGTTCAATTGCAGAAAAGGAACTTCTTGACTAACTGGAAGACGAAGCGAGTCTCAAGAAGGACTTTGCCCCATGGAGAGAGAAAGATAACGTGAAAGGACACTGGAGAAAATTACACAATGAGAAGCTTCATAATTTGTATTCTTTGCCCTGATATTATGGTCATCCAATCAAGGAGAATGAGATGAACGGGGAATGTAGCGAAAATAGGGAGATGAGAAATGCGAAAAAAATTTAGTTGGAAAGTCGAAGGAAAGAGACCACTCGGAAGACCTACGCGTAGATGGCAGGATAATATTAAAATAGGTCTTGGCTTATAGATTGGATTAATTTAATTCAGGATAGAGATCGGCGGCGGGATCTTGTAAACAGAACGGAATCCATAATTCCATGAAAGACGGAGAATTTCTTGACTAGCTGAACGTACTTTTCCTTTCTGAAGAACTTCTCTCCATGAAGTTAGTTTTGGGTCTTCATGTCCCACAGATATTTCAGTCCAGTGTTTCACCCTCCCCACTATGACTGATAAAAGCCTTGTTAAGAATACAACATGCAGCGTGTTTCCTACACTTCTGACCAGGGAAAGATGAGGAACGACTTTGGGGTTCTGAAAACAAGAGCATCATGGACAGACAACATAACTTTGGCCTACAAATAACATGTTTACACCAACAAGATAACAAGAGTAGGTCCTTGATTTATAAAAGTTTAAAAAGTGCGCCCATTTGCAATACATTCGTTTATCAAATGACACCAGATTTGTTAAGTGTGTATAGACTGAACCCCATCTTTAGGTTTTAGCGTGAAGCTCCACCTCACTGCAAAGAATAGCATCTTACAATGACGGGGTTCTGGATTCTGAGGCCGGGTAGACTCGTAGGTGGATACTAATATTTCTGAGAAGTACAGTATCTCCATCATCAGGGTTGAATATGGAGACAGTACTTTTGTGTTTCGTTGGGGAAAACCTCAAAGGGCGAGACATCTCAGGAGAATTAGTCGCAGATGGCACCATAATATTAAAACGTATCTTTGAAAAATTCGATGGGATGGTGTGAACTGTGTTCAACCGGTTCAGAATCGGATTTCTTGCAGGCTTATATGAACAGGATAATAATACTTAAGAGTGTCATAAGAGGTAAATTTATTTATTTACCAGCTTAGCACAGTAACCTTCAACTTTCAAGAATTGTCCTTCTGTGTTGAGAACTAAATTTTGGAAGGATTTGGGTTCGTGGAATTTCGGAATGGGTCAACATGTGCCCATACCTTGCCAGGAAAAAAATTCTACTGTACTTTGTGCAAGGAACTGTGGTAAGACACGGCGACTGTTGCTGCAGAAAAGTAGATACAAATCCTCTCACCAGACACGTCCTTCGTAAGGTCACAAATCGCCTAAGGCATTCTGTTCAAAACGCACGCTGTAGTGGACACAAGAGTTCCGAACATAACTCATAGAACCTGCTCTCCTACTTCACACAAATTCCAGTCTTGTTTAAATTTTGCGTTA